GTGGCGGCTACAAGCCTGGACGGCTTCAAGAGGGAATCGGATAAGGATATGGAGCAGAGGTCCATCGGTGGCTATGAGCCACAAGGTACAGATAGGAACTCTCAGTCTGGGGCAAGTGATGCTCTGTCTTCTTGGTGCTTGGGGGGGGGGCAACAGTGGGAGGGCTTCTAATGTCCTGGCCCCACTGGTGGACCTCCTGATGGCACCTGGTATTTCTGGCCACTGTGTGACACAGAGTGTTGGACGGGATGGGCCATTGGCCTGATCCAACATGGCTTCTCTGATGTTCTTATGTCTGGGGCAGTGATGCTCTGTATTCTTGGTGCTGGGTGGGGGCAACAGTGGGAGGGCTTCTAGTGTCCTGGCCCCACTGCTGGACCTCCTGATGGCACCTGGTATTTCTGGCCACTGTGTGACACAGAGTGTTGGACCGGATGGGCCACTGGCCTGATCCAACATTGGCTTCTCTTATGTTCTTAATGGTGGCTTGGCATGGGCTTCCCATAAACCGGAATACGACAAAAAAACGCATCTCTGGTAGCCCCATCAGAAAAATATTCGCCCCCTCGATGAGTTGATAACGAAGATTGTGGAATGTGCTGAAATGGACAGACTGATAAACATACTGACAAACATACTAAAAGGAAAAATGGAAGAAGAATTCATGGGACCATGGAGGGTGTTCTATGACTGGTTAAAACATAAGTACTGAGAAACTAAGACTAAATGAAGAACAATAAGAAAGAGGGATATAATAGTTGTAAAACTTTGGGAAGATCTGCACGCAGAACGTCAAATTGGTTCTTTCATCTATATAACTCTGTTACTCTTTCTTTCCCCTTCTTTTCCCTTTCTATGTATAAACTAATAAAACTTAATTCTTAAAAAAAAAATTGCCCCGCAACCCCAAGCCAGAAAATCCTGGCTACAGGCCATGACCCAAGCAATCTGTGTTACACGCAGGGGTCATTTCCTGCAGGAGTGCACAGGAGCGGAGCTCCGGCAGTAAAGAGCCCAGGGGGCGGGCACATGCAACAAGCCCCACCCCCTGCTCCCAGCAGCCCTCAGTCAGAGCAAGAAGCAGCCAGGTAAGCTGCAGAGCTCCCCCCGGTCCAAAACAGTCCAGTGGCACCTTTAAGACCAAGTTTTATTCAGGTACGAGCTCTCCCTCCTCTGGGAGGACATAAGAACATAAGAGATGCCAATGTTGGATCAGGCCAAAGGCCCATCCAGTCGAACACTCTGTCACACAGTGGCCAAAAATACCAGGTGCCATCAGGAGGTTCACCAGTGGAGCCAGGACACTAGGAGCCCTCTGTCAGCAAGCTGACAATGTTTTGTTTTCTTTCATATATGTGTGTGCGCTTGACCTGGTATGTGTTGACTTGTAGATGTGCTTGGCTTTGTAGCTCGCCGTAACATTATTATCTCCAAAGGTCACAGGTGGAAGCAAGGATCATTAACGAGGCTTGTTAGCGCACACAGCTTCCATGCCTCACCGTGAGAAACGATAACATGAGAGGCTTGGAACCGTTAGTTCTCATGCCCAAAGGCGCGAACGGGGAAACCCTGGGAGCGCGCGGGACGCCCCGCAATTGGGTAATAGTGGTTTGAATGTTTGAGTATATCCTGTACCATTGCTTGTGTTCTCCATTCTGAACAGTGATTCTGTTATGCACCTTTCATCTCTAATAAAGTTACCTTTTCCATAAAGCGTGCTTATTAAGATGCCAAGAGGAGTCTGACACCCTCCCACTGCTGACAGATCTACACGTTTCCCCCCCCACAACAGCTAGCAATCCAAAAACGTCCACACG